TTTAGAGATATTAATATTTATGAAGCTACTGTAATTGACAGGATGCATCATTTAGATTTGGGCTTATTTAATTATCATGTTACATTTACTTATAATCTTTTAAAAGATTTATATGGTTCTTCAATTATAGATACCATAATTTGCTGCATAAACCATCTCTTTTATAAAAGACCCCCTTATAGTAAACCTGGGTCTGTTACTTGGATTCAGCGAAGGTAAAAAGTATAAGACCCGGGTCTATTATGTGGTCATGTATAATTTTAAGTCATACAAAAATTAATTTATATATAATAATAAAAAAAAAAACTTAAATATTAAATTATTTAAACCTTTATTTATAAAAGGTTATTTTTATTAAAATCTGAATTCCAACTCTTTCTATTTTAATCACAGTATTGTTAATCCCAAGAATTACTATATTCTAAATATTCTTTCTCGTAATAATCATCAATTTCATTTTTTTTATCTTCGCTATTATCAAAATCATTATCAAACTGAATCTCGTCATCTAACATTTGATTCATTGAAGATTCTTTACCATTACCTATGCTAATACTTTTGCTATTACCTGTGCCATTACCTTCGCCATTATTTTCTTCATTCTCAAAGATGAAATTTGTGTTTTGTGGGTTGTTGCCAGTAAGTTTGTCATAGTCAAATATAAGATGATCTTTAGAGCTATTACGTGTATTCAAAATGTCACAACATTTAAAAAACTTATGGATAAGTGTAGGATCAATATCCTTCCATGCGGTATCTACCCATTCAGCAATAGTACTATAAATGAGGCGTTGTATACGACCTTTGGAAGTTAATTTTTTCACTTTCTCGGATATCCATTCATTATAAAACATATGAATCTAAAAAAATATTTATTTATTAATTTATTTATTCTATTTATTACATGTAATAAAAATAATAAATATAAAAGTATAATAACCCTTGATTTAAAAGGTTTATTTATTGCGATATTAAGGGTTGCAATTTCGAAGTTAGACCACCAAGTATAACTGCCATGTTTGTACAATACTCGCTAAATTATTGTTTAACTGGATTAGTTAAATGTCCCTTAAAAGAATCTAATACCAAAAGAGATCGTGGGTGTGTGATTAACAGGTTACAATAGTTCCAAACATTTTCAATCCACTACAGCATTTCATCACTGTTCATCCATCCTTCTTTATTTGTACGAACAAAAACTCCTTTTGGAAAAGTTTGGTGAGGAACATTAACAAGCTTAAAAATGATCAAAGGAGGTAATTTTACGCCATTTGCCAAACATGTGAGAACAACAGTACAATGAGCTTTCTCATAGCCACATGTACAAATGCTTATTGTCCTAGCCCCAGTTTCATCAATCGTAACTGCACTTGGCATTTCAAAGTATAAGGGTGTTTCGTCCATATTTCCAATAAGAGCTTTGGGGTAATCGTACTGAATTCTACGGTATAAGACAAAACTTAAAAACTCTTGTTGAGTTCTTTTCAACTCTTTAGGTAGTTTTTGGGCCACTGTGGTATGACGGCAATTACTAAGATTATAACGGCGCATAAACCTATCCAGCCATTTTTCACTCTATTTATATTCGCTATTTGATGGGTATATTAAAAGATATTATAATTTTTTGGCCAAATTCTTGGCTTTATTTCATACCATAAATCAAGTAACAGCTTTTTGCTGGTTGCGCAATCCCTGTACTCAAACTACTAATTCTTTTTCAAGTTCAGGATACTTGGGCTAAAATCCTACATTAAGACATTTAACATGTGGTGAAACAGCTTGCAACTGTTCACATTTGTTTCGCCAATCTCGTATTTGATTGGGTTGTATATCAAATTTTGTTGCTATATTACAAACTATAGCACCTGGGTTTTTACTCAAATATATAAGTATTGTTAACTTTTCGTGGGCATTCCAAACTCTTTTTTTTTTTTGGGTCGTGGTGGCATGTTTTAGGTTACTAACATTGTGAGTTATCTTTAAAGAAAAAAAAAAACTTTATTAAATATATCAGTACTTGTAAGGTATACTTATAAAATAAAAAAAAACTTACTTTAGCACCTCAAAATATACTCAAATACAATAATATCTTTTTTTTAAAAGATCTCACTTACATAAAAGCGACAGATCACAAAAAAAAAATCGCGTCTTAATATGCACAAAAAAAAATCATCTGGAGATTTGAAAAAAAAAAATCTAAAATTTATACTGGTATGTTCATCACATGATTGCTTGATTTTAAATGGCTAGTAAACCATCTGTACAACAGACCCACCTAATAGTAGACCCCCATCTGTACAACAGACCCCCGGGTCTAAATCAATTTTCATGCAGGTTTAAAGTAGCAGATCTGGGGTGGTTTATGCAGCAAATTATGGTATTTAAAGTTCAAAAAACCAAATATAAATTAATTTTTAATTGTTTTTTTTTTATATTACATTTGATCTAGCCAATTAAAAGCTATAATTTATAAAAATACAAATATCAGATACTGTAAAAGTCAGACATGTATACCCTGAGTATTTTCATTGCTCAATTCTGTACCTGGGGTATTTCTATATAGGGTATACCATATTAATGAGAGTACACAAGTCGAGGTAAATAGTTGATTAAACTTCTACTGCTATTATATTTTTATATGCTTTACCAAAAGAAAATGTAAAATTGGGCTTTCAAGTTTATTATTGATTATTCATCGAATTCAATTTATAAGAAATCTGATTAGTAATGCATAAGATATGTATTACATCATCGATCAGATTTTTTATAAGCTGAATTCAATAAATAATTAATAATAAACTTGAAAGCCCAGTATTATATTTTCTCATGATAGCACTCTGATGCCATTCATATGATTGAAGCAATAAAAATTCTTGTGTATATAAATCACTTGTTATTAAAAAAAAAAAAAAAAAAGATATTTAAAGCATTTCTCTAAAAGTATCAAGTATGTCAAATATTAATATTCTCTTAGTCATTTCTTAAACCATTCGCTCATATTTGAGAATATGTCTAATTGCCTTAAGCAAGACATTAGCTCTAGGGTTTTACTCTAATAGTTTAGCAATTGGGTTTGAACTTTTTTTTTCAAATCATTTAGATTTTACTATCTATATATATTTTTTCTTTAAATTTATTATTATGAATATGAATAAACTATATAAAGATATGCTCAAATTGCCTTGAGCAAGATATCGGCTCTAGGGTTTTACCTAACAGCTCGGCAATTGGGTTTGGACTTTTTTTTTCAAATCATTTTTAATTTTACTGCCATGTATTTTTTTTCTTTAA